CCCCAAAACCCCAAAACCCCAAAACCCCAAAACCCCTTTTTATAATTTTATACTTGAAATATGTTCTGATATGATTTTCAGACTAGTAGTAGTTATTCAAGTTTATGTTGGTCAATCCAGTTTCTCCAAGGATTGCATCAATTTTTTTCTGATTCTATCTCGCTATCTGAAAAAGTAAGCTTAATTGGCTTTTCTTTGAATCCTTTAACTTTGGCAAAACCTTCAAATATATTTCTGAGCCCTCTGAAATCATTACCAGCAAAGTTCGAGTAATTTAACCCAGGTGTTTGATTAAATGTGATCATCTCAAATGCAAAGTCATCAAGCTGGTCTCCAAAGTCACATTCATCTGAGCCCTCAATAGCTAGCTTGCCTATAAACAATTAGTTTTTATCAAAAATTTAGAAGATGAGTATGCCTCTAAGTTTATTTAATGCAACACACTATTGGCCATTATAGCCCCAGTTGTGATCGGCATTGATCATTTTGTCTGAAATTAGAAACTTGATAAACTTTGAGAAAGAAAATATAAGTAATGATATAAAATGAACTTACATCTATCAAAGACTATTTCATTGCATCCCTTAGATGCTATCATGAGATCCTCGAATTCCTTCTTGTTTAGATGCAATCTATCAAACTGTAAAATCTGTGGAACCCTGGCTACTGCTTTCTTAAGAGCTTCGATGTGGGCCTCACCAGGCTGTTCGGGAAGTTCCAGATTTCCATACACAAAGTATTCGATGTGGTTTGAGATAGATCCCTTAAGGAACGTATCTATTAGTTCTTGCTCTTGGAATAGAGAATAGTTGTATACCATTACCTATAAGGCGGGTAAGTAAGGGAATGAAGTGGAAGAGAGGGAGAATGGTACGCTTGGCGTTCAGAGTGTCGAGGCTTATAGCGGTGATGTAAGATAGGTAGGAGGACTAGTGGTAAATTATTTATTAATTGCACCTAATAACTCATTAAAAGTCTTGGAAGGGACAGATTAAGAAGATATTTAGTCAGCAGAATATTGTAGTACTACTGGGAGAGTAGCTGAAAGAATTTTGCTCCCCTTTGGGTTAATTTTTCCAAATCTTGATCTCAGCTGCACCATTGCTAATACTCAAAATTGTAATATAGCCGCCGTTTATTTTTAGAAATCCGATAGCCTAATAGCTTCAGTATAAGAAAGCACCGATGAGAGAGGTGGTTTGTATCTTTTTTGTTATATAAGAGTTAATTGAGGAGTAGCTGATCATTTTAGAGAATCAAAAAATTTATGTAATACTAAAGTGGGCTAAAATGAGTTTAAGGTGTATAAATTCAGGAATTTTTAAGGCTAAATATTCCAAGTTTTTGGGGGGGGCACTGAGTCAAGATATCTAGCAGGGAAGGGCGTTTAAAGACCACTTTAGCATTGAGTTAAAGTTTCTTCTCAGAATTTTTGAGAATTGGTATAAAAAGACCAAAACTTTTGTTAAAATTTATACCGCTTAAGAAATACTAAATTTATCTATAGAAACTTATTTTATCATTGTTTTTCTTTATTCAGATGATTCTAAAATAGAAAAACTAGAGATGTATCCTTTGGTAATATTCCACTAAAGCACTTTATTGGATACTTTTCATTTCCAAAAAGACTCTAAATGTACCTTGCTGAAGTTTGGCAGTTTCTTGCTCAACAGAGCTTTAAGTACCTCAACCTTTTCATCGTAGCTCATATTAAAGGCTAGTTCATCTGATTCGCCCCAGGAGCAATAGTTTCCAGACACATTTTCCCAGATATCTGCATAATCTGAGAAGCTGATTGGTTCCTTTGCTTCAAAAGCTAAATCTACAAGGCTGTTATATTCGTTTGATATTTTGTCAGCTTTAGTACTAAGATTAGATTCCTCTTCTTCAAAGTTGATGAATTTCTCTTTAAAACATCTAAGCTCTTCATCTCTAGTTTCAATCTTGGAATCGATCTCTTGTGAGTCCTGGGTAAGGGCTTCCAATGATTCTTCAAAGCTAACTTTCTCCTCCTCTAGTGCATCTAGCTGAGCTTGGTATTCTTGAGCGAAGTAAGGATTTTCAGCAAACTCTCTCTTAAGGTCTTCGATGTTGACGTCAATAACTTTCTCATTCAGTGTGCTGAGGCTGGTTTTAGCATTCGCGCTCCTGGTATCTATGTCGACTACATCTCCATAAAGATCTTCAGCAAATTGTCTACATTGCAACTGTCTCGAGTAATGCTTCATGATGTTAGACTTGTAAATGGTGTTCAAAAGATCTTTTGCATCATACTGCAGCTTGTTTAGGTGACCGTGCATATCTTTCTTCGTAATAATGAGAAGTCTAGCTTGAAGGCTAGTCTTCTTCTTAATGAAATTTGTAAGCTCAGGGATGATTCTTTCCCACACTATATTCAGATTATGTTTCTCTCTAAATCTGTCTATTTTCTTTAAGTGATGATCTACTATATCAAGAAGGTTAGATAAAGGTTACAAATTGTATAAAGAAGGATATGGTGCTTTAGATTAATAGAAAAATTAGAGAATTAGCTTAGTCTCTAACTCCATTCAAGCCTGATGACAAAATAAGTTGGCTGAAATAAAAACTTAAAGCTCCTTTGCCAAAATTATAAAATTTATCCTGAGTCTAACACGTACCAATTCTAATCGTATCTTCTATCGCATTTGCATTAGTAATAGCTTCGATCTCTTCATCTGCATAAATTGTATTAGCACACACTGCACAAACGCACATATCATCTTCAAAAGGAGTATTCTCAGTGCTCTTAACAAGTCACGCTATATCTCCACAATAAGGAGACATTTCACATTTAGGTAAAGAGTCCATGTTGGCTTGGTTTGGTTCTTCAGGTTTATTTATTTGTGTGGGGTTTTGGGGTTTTGGGGTTTTGGGGTTTTGGGG